CTTTTTAATGTTTCTCTTCAGCCTGAGGTGTTCCCCAGCTTTTTTTAAACATGCCATTGTGGAACCAAGGCTCAGAAAACCCAACCTGGATCCAACACTACTTGAACATTTTAGACCTTTAGATCTCCAAACTCCCATTTATGTCAAAACTATTTGAGAAGGCAGTTGCTGTCCACCTTACGGCATACTTGGAGAAACACAACATCTATGACTGTTTTTAATCTGGGTTCCGTAAATTCCACTGCATTCCACTGAGACATCACTACTGAAAGTCACTAATGATATTATGATGTCAGCAGACTCCAGAGAATGCACAGTCATAGTCTTGTTAGACCTTACCTCAGCCTTTGTTACAGTCAATCATACCATCCTGATAAACAGACGGAGAGACCTGGTTGGGATGTCTGGCTCTGTTCTAGACTAGTTTTCATCTTATATATCTGAAAGGAGTTTTAGTGTGTCTGCAAACCAGATCATGTCAGAATTTACAGAGTTGCTGTGTGGAGTTCCTCAGGGCTCAGTGCTGGGACCTATTCTGTTTTTAATATACATTCTTCCTTAAAGCCAGCTAATACAGCAGTTACCTGAAGTATCTTATCATCTTTTTGCTGACGATATTCAGCTATATTAAATAATGGTTGAACAATAATTGCTTACAGCTAAACCCGGCCAAAACAGAAACTTTGATTATTGCACCAGGCAGTGCAATACCCGATATTAAACGGTGACTGGGCGATTTAGGTTCCTCACAAAAACATAACCTTAGAAACCTGGGTGTTATTTTTGATGAAGCTTTTTCTTTGGAGGGACATTTAAATCAGATAGTAAGAAAAACTTAAATCCATCGTGTCAACAAAGGAACTCCAGATGATAATACACGGTTTTGTCTCTACAAGACTCAACTACTGTAACAGCCTGTTTACTTGTCTAAACAAGAAAGGGCTAGCTTGTCTGCAGGTTGTTCAAAACTCTGCAGCGAGGCTACTGACCCGCTTGAACAAGGGAGCCCATATGACCCCTGTTTTAAAGTCGCTGCACTGGCTACCAATCAGATTTAGGTTCCATTTTAAAATGTTAGTTTAGTTAGTTTGAACTTTTAGAGCATTACAGGGACAGGCCCCCCCCTATATTGCCGATTTGATTCGTACACATACCTCTTCTCGTAACCTGAGGTCATCAAACCAAAACCTTTTAGCGGTCCCCCACACTCGTTTCAGAACTTGAGGGGGCCGATCTTTCCAAGCTGTTGCACCCAGACTGTGAAATGCTCTTCTTCTCTTTCTACGGTGTCTGGACTCGGTGGAGACCTTCAAAAAGCAGCTAAAGACAGTTTTATTTCAAAAAGCTTTTCATTAGACAAGGGTTTTTAGGATGTATTTATGACTGTATTGTGTTTTTGCCCTGTAAAGCACAAACTCACTGAATACACTGTGACCCTGTATCACTAAAAACAACAACGAAGGAACATTTTGAACAGCAAAACCATTCAAACAAGGTAACAAAGAAAAAAGATTTCAATACAGGTTGCACTGAACAGCTGATTATAGAATCCTATTCTTCCTGCTTCTTTAAGCATTTCTATGACCTTTTGTCCTCATTTCCTAAAAAGTTGAAGTTCTGACATTGCATAGGGGGGCCTGAGAACTCGGAAAGCTCCAACACAACTATTAAATCAACCATATGGCTGGATTACAGGTGAGAATCAATACTGAATTGGAAATAAAAACCTTTCACATAAGTGAAAAAAAGGAAATATAGTGCTTTTAATGGGTTCCCCTTTTAAGTTTCCATGCTACAAAGACTGAATCAAGTACAAAGTTTCTCGAGCGATGAAGGTTCAGGGTTCAGAAAAGTGCTGAAGAGAAATAGGAGCTGCAGAAGAGCAAATCAGCAAGCCTTTAGAGGAAAACAAGGATCCAAAGGCAGTGAAACTGAAAAGACAGAAACTACTGTTCATCTGTTTTTTGTCACGGTTCAAGCAGCACTGGCATTTCTTCTACATGATCTAAAACCAAGTAGGCATGCCAAAAACATAAAAAAACATCTGTAAGAGTCTTATGTCTGACATTTGTGCTTCAGATATCATTGACCAGTACCATGAATATGCAGGTAAATATCCCTTTCAGGAAGCAAGAGATGTGTGGGATTTGCCAAAATCCAATTTCAAAACTTTTTCCTGTGGTCTGCTGATGTTTTAGTTAACAGCTCAGGCAATGGCTACCAGACAGAAAAGGAGGCTTGAACAGCACGGTCAGACCAGCGTCACTAACGTCTGACGCAAACTCAAGTCATTTTGTTCTATAAGAAGCTCAAAATATGACAGAAACCGCTCACTTCAGAAAAAGAGGTTCGTGGGTTACTCCTCATGGGCTTTCAAGGGGTAAAAACAACCATCTTGATGGAAGTCGGTATACATTAGTTTGTCAGACTAGTGCGACTATTCCTTGAAAAAACACAGAACACTCAGATGCTGAGTCATACCAGCTCAGCAAAGATCTTTTACATCCTTTTAAGCCTCAGGGTGCCAAATATGAGCACCCAAACATTTTTTTAAGGATACACTGCACATCATGCTGAGATATGCCAGGTTTTTGGCTAATAGCTCTTTGGGAATCGCCTTGTTGGTGCAAAAATTAGATTTTATGTCTGCCAAACTGGGTTATCTTTGGAATTTCTCAAGATTCAACTACAGAAATTGGAACAAACGATGTGTTTTTGTGATAAGCTGCTAGTAGAAAATGTGTGTAATTTAAAATTAGTTTTTTGATTTAGCTTTCTGTTATGTGTAGACACAACACTGGGTAATCCCTCGAGTTAGGTGCGGCTTTTAATGTTTGAATGACACATAGATCAGTGTTAAGTGGCCAAGCAAACAAACAAAACAATTCAGGTACACAGACTGGACTGAAATGAGTCAAGCCTATAGAAAGTCCTACAAAACCCAAACCACTGCTCAAAACCACTTTCAAATTCAAGAAAGTCTGGCTTCTTGGGATCAAAATGAAAAGAAATGAATGGGGACTCGAGACTTTTGTATAGTACTGTATTTTATACTATTCAACCATTTCTTGGGACAAAAAACAGTAGAGGTGTACGTGAATCAACTGTGGCAGGGTTTTATTCCAAAATACTCCCACTGTTTAATTTTTGGAAACAAGATTCCTGAGACTAAACTACAACACAGAGATTCACATGAATACACAAAACTCTTTATCTTCATGTTCTTGAAATTTAACTGTGTGGCAAGTTTATAAGCAAACCCTTCATTACTTTTTGTTTTTGAGTGCTGTGAAATACTTCATATCTGTTTTTAATAAATACGGTCACATTGGGAGCAACTAAGATTTATTCTTTTACACACTATCGTGATTTTTGATTGGACTTACTATCACTATTGTTTCTGCTTTTCTTATTCACGACTGAAGAGATTTCAGTCTGCTGTCTGGTTTGGATTTCACTAAAACAAAAACTGGGACGAATATTCTGACATGCATTAAAAATATTCAGATTCTCTGTCACAAACAAAATCTTCTGTCTGGTTTTAAACACAAATTAAACCTTTTCTCTTAAAAATCAACAAAGTCGAGCAGAGCAATATGTTGCAGGAACTTTGTATGAAACAAGGGAATGAACATGAAGTAAAACTATGCAAACACAGTCCCTGTAAATACATATAAAACATTTAAAGTCCAAGCAACATGCATCAGTCAAACTAATAAAGAAAGAGAGAAAAAACATGAACTTAAAGACACTCCGCTGTTACTTTGATCTTAAAAACGATCGATTTCAAACCTTCAAGCACAACTTTCAGTGCGTTTGAATTCATTTATTAAGGAACCGTGTACAACTCTCTCCTCTCAACTTCAAACTCCCCCATTGCACAGCAGAAAAGTATTTATAAATTCTGCTTGCTTTAAAAGTGTAAAACTGCAAGAAGAAAAAAACATACAGCACGCCCTCATCTCCCAAATATTTCTGCAAAATCTGTAATTTTGTAACAACTTTCTGTAAAACGGATCACCTTTAAACATTTATAAAATTTCTAGAAAATTTTATTTGGAATTTCAAAGTGTCTCCAAAAGAAAGAACAAAACAAAATAAACAGCATTTATCTGTAGTCCTACCATTAATAATTGTACTTTTAAACTGATCAATCTGCTGATTATTTTGGCAGTAACTACTACTACTACTAGTTTTAATTGAAAACTTGCCTAAAAATGAAGTAATTACCAATAACAAGTGAATTTTGGGTCCCATAAAGAGAAACTCTAAAACATAAAATACTAAAAAAGAAATACTGAGTTATTGATTTTTATTAAACATTCTACTTTTTCGCCATTAACTAAGGACCCCCATTAATTAAAGGTCTAAAATGTTATGACAATGAAAGTCTCCAAAAATAAAGAAGTACCATCAATATTATCACTAAGGCATGCAACTACTAATTATTTTGTGAATATAAATAAAAATGCTGATTTTATGATTTCTTCTGCTTTTTTAGTTGTAAGTTTAAAAAAAAAAATAATTAAATGCAAGCTCCAATTGTAAAGCCAATATAATAAATATTAGGGGATATTTACTCAGGCGGCTGCTTTTGGATAGATCAACGCTTTAAAAGGACCCCCGCCCCATTGTTGTTTTTTTGAAATTACTGATAAATGAACTTTTCTTTATGAACACTAAACAACTAGAATGTGAAACAAAACCATGAGAAACTAACTGTGCCTCTGTTTGTGCTGAATGCAGTTTAAATGAGACTAAAAGCCCAACAACAAAAGTTGTTGCAGAGCCTCCTTCTTCCTCGTGCTTAAAATCAGCCTGGATGCAAAGCAGCTCACACAAAATAAGAAAAGACAAAAATGGTCTTTTGTTTTGGAGCTTCATATTTAGAGTCAGATTGTGAAGGAAGTCAGCAGCAACAAAAATTCCTCTAGAAGAAGAAGAGGATGATAAAACAGTGACTCTGCCCCCTCCTTCGCCACATAACAGGAGGACAAAAGTTAACATAACAGAGGCTCTAATTTAAAAAAGCACATTAACAATACAATTACACCATGTGCAGCGTAATTGTAAGAAATACAGCCTGCCTTTTCTTCCTCGCACTTTTCCTTCAGTAGATCTTCCTCTAACTTCTGACCTTCAGGCGAGGCAGCGCCTCTGGCAGAAAATGACTGGAGGGCATAAAGAAAAAAGACAAAAAACATAAGATAACATGCTCTTAAGTGCAAAAATAAATAAATAAACCCCAAATAATGTCACATAAAGCTAGTTATACTGAATTAGGGCATAAAATCAAATCGCCTTTACTCTGTCTCCTTGGAAACCTTTCTTATATTAGTAGGACACAAAAAGTCTTCAGAGACAGTATGTATCTCCTCGACGAGGCAGACTTTGAAGAACGTTTGATTAAGCACAGTTTAAATCCCTCCTCACTGCAGCAGTGAGTCTCACCATCAGTAGAACGGCGACTGCGGGCTGATGTAGAGTCTCTGAGTGTGAGAGGCGGCAGGGCTGAGCGATGAGAGAGAAGACAGGGTGGAGAGGGGGTATGGGGACTGAGGTGGTGGAGGAGGTGGAGGGAGGCAGGAGGCGAAGGCCCGGCTGGCGCAGGTCAGGACACCTGGAGTGGTGACAGTGGCAGCAGGTGGGGAAATGGCGAGAGGAGGAGAGTTGCTGCTGGGAGAGTCGCAGGATGCTCCGCTCAGAAAAGACAAGTCTGGAGGAGCAAAGACAAGACGGGGGGAAAACATTATTTGTAAAGCACTTCTCAAAACACTCAGGTTGAATAAAAGCCACCAATTGAAGATATATATGCTCCAGCAATAAGACACATAATTAACGATAAAGGTCTTAAAGTCATCACAAGATACACACTTCCATACTTGTATATTGTTTCACTCTAGTTTTTATTACTGTATCTGTAGTTCTCAAAGGTTGGTCACTGCATTTGCCTGGTTCCTGCTTTGCACCCAATGAGGCAAAAAGATAGTGAAAGGTGCAAAGATGCATCTACGTGCATCTTATAACCTACGGTTATTAGGTCCTTCCGTACAGCCCCACAGGGGGGTGGGTGGGTTTGAAGCCCATCCTACCTGTTGCAGGCCTTCATGCACTCTAGTCTTGTTCTAAGTGAGTGCATTGAAAGCAATGCAAGGAGATTATCTGCTCTCCTCGCCCACTCTCATCAAATGATTAGCTGTCATTAAAGGGTATGAGCTGAGCCATTTCCAGTCTGAAGCCAGCACATAATCACAGGCCGGCAGGAAACACTAAGATCACATTACACAATCAATTAAGGTTAGTTAAGCACTGGCAGCTGGTGACAGGTAAGTCCTCCCAAAAACTCC